AGCCATCCATCACGGCTGTCAGCCGCCCCCACCCCCCCCCCTCCAGCGGCGCTGCGTCCCTTGCGCACTAGCGCGCCTCCCGCCCTGGCTGTCTGCGCTCAGCGCCTTCAAACGCTCCCCTGGGTACTGCTTGACTCTCTGGGCCGAGACTTCTGCAGACGTCCCTAGGGGACGGCTGAAAGTTCCCAAGGGCTGAAACAGCGGGGTCTTCCAGGGACTGGCAGCCCTAACTTGAAGTCCTTAGGATCCTGGATCTGAGTCAGAGCCAGGTGGCCTCTTGGGAAAGCTGTGGACACCAGGGTCCCCAATCCTTTGTCTGAGACCCCCTCTTCTTCCCTGGGGCTGAATGGTATCCAGGGATATTAACTACTGGCTCGTCAGCTCATTTCTTTCCCCACGGACACTGGGGTTGCCTCATCCCGCAGCGCTCTGCTCCCCAGCAGGCTTAGGCTGCCAGGGAAGGGGTTTTGGCTAAGTGGAGTCTGCGGCAGCACTAGGCATCTCAACTTGGTGCCCAAAGAATGAAGGGGGGTCATTTCCATTTGGAATCCCCTTCAGATGCTTCCACACTGAGGACAGGGGCTCAACATGAGAGATAATCTCTCTGCTCCCCCAGACAAGGGATATATGGTCTGATCCCCTAGCCCTTGCTTTCTCTACCTGAGGTTGGTACCTTACAGGGCCTTGGGGTTTCCAGGGGGTCTCAGGAGGCCTGAGAAAGAGGTATCTATGTGTGTGGAGCAGGAGCCGAAATAGGAGCTCCCTTCAGTTATATCCCTTCCTCATTAGTTTCTAGGCTCTGAGTGTAGTGGGCCCATCTGAAGACCTTCTCTCCCTCTATAGTCTGGAACAGAGTGGCCAGGACCCAGATCAGGCATTTTGGGTCCCAGAAAGGCCTCCCAGTGGCAACTGGAAATGGTGGTTAGGGGCTTTAAGAACCTGCTGGGCTTGAAGGAAGAGAGGGCTCCTAGCATTTCTCATCCTAAATTCCTGGGGATATGGGGGGGAGCCCTGGGTTCTGACCTCAGGGAGGTGGGAATGGCCTGAGTAAGAGGGCTCCTCTGGACTAAAGAAGAACCCGAGGATATTATCTCTGGCCCCAAGTATCCTTTTCCCTTGGGGTCTGACGCCCTCCCCCACTACCCCAATCTGGCTTGGGGATTCCCCCAGGCTTGGCCCCAGGCCCCCCAGGGGGAGGCTCCTTGCCGGTGCCACTCTCCTGTTTCCTTCCCTGTTTCCTTCCCCGGAGCTCTGGCCGCCGCAGCTTAATTGAAAGCCGATTCGGGCTGAGAGCTCCCCAGGGGCGGGGTGTGTGTGTTGGGGGGGGCGGG